CATCGTTGACGCCGTTTTTATTCGATCATTCGGTATATTCTTTATATACCTATGTATATTCTATATTCTTTCTTCTTTTATTCTTTATATATCAGGGAAACTTACACCCTACCTAAGTTATCTTATAGGAACCTTTAAAGGCTATTCCTTTAGCTAATCTATAAAATTACATATACAGGGTGGTCCGAACTGTATTCCGGAAACTTCGGCGGCATATTCTGCAGATAAAAATAAGTAAAAATATTCTATACGAACATTTTTACTTATCGATGTATGTCCAAAAATGCTTAGTTTCGGAGATACAGGGTGTAGAAGTTTCATTTTCATTTCGATTTTTTCCAAATAATTTCTGCAGTGACATCAATATTTGGATTAAAATTGGTGTTTAGGAGTTTTTTGACATGATAAATTTGATTTTTATGTCAATATGACTCCTACTAGTAGAGGGCGCCACCTACATATTTTTTAACTGATTTGAAGAGTAATAACTTTTCGTCCGTACCTATATAAAACTACTGAGAAAAAAATATACATTTACGACGCTTTCTACGTAAAAAAGGTCTCTTGGTAAAAATCCCTACGAGCAATGGTTTTCGAGATATTTAGAATCGAAATTATCAATACCTGTCATCACTGACATAAATTAAACATGGGCAGTTTGATTTCGGAAAAGGTCAATATCGACTCTGAAATTCAGCACAGGATTAGCAGCGCTTCAAGAGCATTCTGGAAATTAAAAGACAGGGTTTTTTACAACCATGACCTGAGCACAAAAACGAAACTTGCAGTGTACCGAGCAATAATAATCCCCACCATGTTATATGGGAGCGAAACCTGGGTGCCGTACCGCCGACACATGAACGCATTAAACAAGTTGCAACAGAGACACCTTAGACAACTCTTAAGTATTAAATGGTTCCATCACGTCTCAAACGTATCGGTTCTTGAAAAAGCTAACTGCGAGAGTATTGAAGTCATGGTTACAAAATCCCGACTAAGATGGGCTGGTCACGTATGCAGAATGCAAGAAAACCGCATACCAAAATCACTGCTTTACGGTGAGCTTGTAGACGGTAAGAGGAGGCCAGGTGGACAACTCAAAAGGTACAAGGACATTTTCCACGAAAACTTAAAGGGAATTAATGTGCAGAATGAGTGGGAAGTAGCAGCTCACAATAGAACTCAATGGAGAAGAATTGTAAACTCAGTTAACAGCGAGAACCAAAAAGTTAAGAGGCAACAAAGCAATGAGATTTTTTAATGTCCGGAGTGCGGTAGACAAATAACATCACGTATTGGGCTTTTCAGTCACAGAAAGGCTCATGAAAGAAAACGCCTTGCGTGACCATCTTCTGATGCGTGTCAAATACTCGTCAGCGAGTAACGGCAGTATGTATGTAAATTAAACATGTTGACTAAATAGTTATTAGACTGAGATCATAAATTTGAAATGTTTTTGCACCATAAGTTCAACAAAAACCGTTTTATCATCATTTTTTGCAGAAAAAATATGATTAATTTAAAAAAATAAAAATTTCCCAAATTTATTATTTCAGTGAATCTACTCAACGTGTTTTTTTCGTCAATAATGGTATGTATTGACTATTTCCATTCTAAATATCTTGAGAACGGTTGCTCGTAGCGATTTTTAGAAAGAGATATTTTTTACCTAAAAAAATCACAAAGATGTATATTTTTTTCTCGGTAGTTTTATACAGGTACGGACAAAAAGTTATTAAACTTCAAAATAGTTAAAACACATGTAGGTGGCGCCCTCTACCAGTAGAAGTCATATTGACATCAAAATCGAATTTCTCATGTCATAAAACTTCCAGACACTAATTTTCATCTAAATATTGACGTTACTTCCGAAACTATTTGGAAAAAATCCGAGGAGTAAACCGCTGATCAAATTTTTGTACACCAATTCCTAAATTGGGAATTAAATTGACATTTCCTACTTAATTCCCGCAATTCCCCATAATACCTAATAAATTCCTAAGAATGCCTGCTAATTCCTAGTAATTCCTCTTAATTGCCTATAATTCCTCTTAATTCCTACAATTCTCACTAATTCTCTCTCGCAGAAATATTTATTAACAATTCCCCAAAAATACCCCTACTGATTCTTCTAAATACTAGTGAAAAGATTGTTTAAAATTAAGAGAATGCTGCACGAACGAAGGTTTTAATCTCCGTCTTACTACCTAAACTAACTTTTAGTTAATAAGAATAATACTAGATAACACAACAAATTAATGAATACTAGATAACACAACAAATTATGAAACTACAATTCCCTTTAGTTATTTAAGTAGTGGACTCTCAATTGCTTTTAATAATAATATTCCAGGGAAGTTATGACTCTCTTGGTTCGCGTAATTAATATTTACTCCCTCAAAAGTAAAATTACCTAGATACCCTGGGAATTATATTGTTATAATGCAGGTAAATGAATGAAAGTCTGCATTTTTCTTGGAAAAAAATTCTAGTAACACAACTTACAAAATGGTGTTTTGAAAATAAATGTAGACAGTTTTTATATTATAAATAATATTATAGCAGTAGCTTCTCTCAAAGAACATACATAACACGTATAACATCTAAAACACCAACATTCAAACTAACGAAAATAAACAAGGAGAAATTTAAACAAAACGATATTCTTAATTACAAATTGGATAAAGAAAATATTTGACTTTTTTAATAACTAAAATAATGATGACTAATTAAATAATTATTACAAAAATTATCTCTACATGTGATTCAGCTTGTTAAGTCTTTCTTAAAGAGCAAAACGGTTTTATATAATACTCCCTTGCGAAAGGCCTAACAAGCAAAAAATAATATGCAGAGATGATTTTTGTAATTAAAAAGCCAAGTATTTTTTTTATTTATTAATTTAAAAATATTGAAAAGGTTTCTTAAGGAACCGAGAACCGAACATAGAATAAGTTTGCTAAAAATTAATATAAACGCAACAAAACAGTTTTATACTAATCCTCAGCATAAGTATCTAGTAAATACTTAAAACAGATACCCATGGTATGGAATGTTACATTCCGGTAAAAACAAAATAAGTTAAAATTTATTTGTACTTAAAATAGTATTTTCATCTTTGTTTTGCTTTGTAACGGTGGCATGATTGTCTATTTCTAAGTGGGGAAAAACAACAATGATAAATCTGATGAGTTTGAATATATTTATGTTCAGTCTTCTTATGCTCTTTCTTTTCATACTCTTTCTTTGGTACATACATGTATCGTGTAGTTCTATCTGATGTTAACAATTCGGAGAATTCGAGAACATTGTGCCACGAGGTTCAAAGATTACGTTCTATTGGCGTGACGCAGAGTCCCCCCCTCCCACACGACAGAACACGCGCACAACGAAATTTACCTATTGCGCATGCGTGTCAGATTTCTACAAGGCCGGAATGCCAATAATTCCAGCAATTCCTAAATAATTCCTAATCTGGGAATTCCTAATTCCCAGATTTCCTACAGATTTCTGAATAATTCCGAACAATTCCAGGATTTGTACACCACAATTCCCCAGCGGTTTACCCCTCGAAAAAATTCCTAGATTTCCTACAGATTTCTCAATAATTCCTAACAATTCCCGGATTTGTACACCACAATTCCCCAGCGGTTTACCCCTCGAAAAAATTGAAATAAAAATGAAATTTCTACACCCTGTATCTCCGAAACTAAGCATTTTAGGACATACATTTATATGAACTTTTTTACCTATTTTTATCTCCAAAATATGCTGCCGAAGTTTCCGGTATACAATTCGGACCACCCTGTATAAGGAATATACTTTCAGCAAGATAGGGCTCCAGCTCACAACTTTAAAAATATGAGAATTTTTAAAATAAATGTTTCTAAATCAATGAATTTGGACCAATGGACCCACACGACGCGCGACGGCCTTCCAGATCCCCGGATTTGTCCATTCTCGATTTCTCTGTTTAGGGATTTTTAAAATGATTAAATATATCGTCGCAACTTCAACAATGTCAAAGACTTGGAAAATGCTATCAGCACAGTTATCAGGCAAGCTTTTAAATATTTGCAAACCTATCCCTTTATAATAAATCCCATTATAAAAAAAAGAAAATATATTTAGAGATTCAGTGGTAACAGTTTAAAAGCAAAATATTTTAGTCCCAAATAAAATTGTAATATTTGTATGAACATCTTTTAGTAAATACTATTGTATTATGTTCCATTTAAGAAAATATAACTTTAATTCATATCTTCAATAATATTTTTTCCTAGAAAATCAGACTACACCACTGTACTGAAAAATTTCTACAAGAAACAGTTTGCCTCTTCTCGATACCTTTCACAATAACAGAGATACAGGGAGTGTCCCAAATTGCAAAATTTTCAAAAAGACCGTGTAGCTCGAAACGAAGAGGGATATGAAAATTTTGTTGACAGCATCTTCCATTTGACAAAAAAGGAGAACAGGTTTGTGCAAACCGCATCCTCCTATCTTCAGTAATAACGGAGATACCAGATGATTTCAACCAAAGTTGGACACCCTGTACAGCAATTTCTATAAAACTCAAAGTTCTTGTACCAATTTTAAAATTATTAGGTACTGCAACAAGATGAAAGTTTAGTTTTTTCATTTTTTCAAATATTGGATATCAACCACTTATTTCAAACTTGAAATAAAATCTTTAATATAAGTGTTGATTGTGTGACTATTTAACAGTCTCAGGAATAGTTTTTGTAAATGTTACAAATCATTTTGTGATTGTTTTGTAGTAAATACCACTTTTATTTTCCAGTTTTCTTTTCTTTAGAATCAATAAATATAATACAAAATCAACTAATAAAAATCCCAGATGTAAATCAAATGATATTTAAATCAATCGAGCCCTGCTCAATAATATTCAGTAATACACTATTTTTCTCTATCAAACTGAATGAAACTAATTAGCTTTTCAGTCAGCATACAATTGGAGTAATTTAAAAATCACTTACCTCTTGTGGACTCAGTTTAGTTAAGGGACTTCTGGTAGGTTCCTTGGAAAAATGCAGTCTTCGATAGTGACACCGAAGCCTTATATATGCTAAATCATCAAGCGGAGCCGGCTGTAAACAAATACTTGAATAGTTCTTACGATAGGCACTAGTGTCTTGTTGTCTAAACGAGAGTGTTTTAATAATTGAACTAGTTTTGCAAGTTCTAAGGAGATACTGGCTCCTATAAGCCACTACCATTTTCGAGCTATTTATGACCGATCTAAGATATTCGATATTCCGATAGCTAGTAATCGTTGAACACTACCGAACACTATTGACATTATTTCGTAAAAAAACTCGGAAAATACTGCGTTTGTTACGAAAATAGTGACAATTTTTATGTTATTGACAAGCAAATTTAGAGGTTAGTTTCCACAGATTAAAGTGAATTTTTTCAAAAAGTCAATTAAAGAGCGTGAGCCAGGCAACTACATATACACCTAAAATCAAAATTAATTTTAAATATATTTATTTCTATTTAGAAATAAACGATAATAATGTTTAAATACACATTATGTAGTTTATATTTATATATTTCAGTTTGAGTAATAATACATTTTAATAGAAAAATCTTAAATTTAATTTTTTAAAATCATTTTGCTTGTCATCTGGCATGAACTGTCCAAACGACAAAATTATGAATTTCTGTTTATTTGCTATAGCTGTATATTAGACGCTCTCCACTAGATGGCAGAAGTGGTACAAATTATTTTAAATAATTATACAAGGTGTTTCAAAAAACATGTTCCATCTCTTATGGGGAGATTCCTTACGTAAAAATAAAATTTATTTCTCATATCAACATAGGTCCGTTTCTGCTTTATTACGTAGCTACAGGGTGTTAAATTCTTAATAATCTTTTGATTTATTATAATTTTCTTCCAAAAGTACTGTTAGTGTTTCGAATAAAATTTTGAGGGGGAAAGTTACTATAAATGCGAGATATTTTAAAGCTAAAAATGTGTCAACATATTCACCAGGGACGTGCATATGGGTATCACCGGAATATTTTTCTAAAAAAAAGAATGTACGCCACTGACTTTTTTTCTCTTGTTTTCAGGCTTTATCATGGCTTTCAGCACAGAATATCTAGCTACGCAACAGAAGCCTCGTTACATGTATAAAATTGTAGGTAGCAAAAGGAGACAGGCTTTAAAAGTCTGTCTCCAAATCAGATATTTTGATGTGGTAGTTTCGCTACTACATAATAGAGGACAATAAATTTAAAAGAATACAGTTTTCTACAAACAAAATTTAAAAGAATTATGTGCAGTGTTGCCATTGTGTAATTCATATCGTAATACTTCCTGATAAAGCCTACCTTCAAATTTGCTACATCATTTAAACATATTAAAATAGATCAGAGCTGTTTTTTTTTCAGTTTGCCATGTTAGTTGGAATTAAATCTTATGAGCTAAATTACAATTACTTCCTGACGTTTGATTGTATAATTGAATCCTGAATTTTCATTGTAATTCGGCGACAATATAATAAGTATTGTTCTACTATTATGATACCACTTCCTGACGTTCGATTGTGTTCATACCAAGTTCATATTGTATAATAGGGAAAAACCGGCGTTAGCGATAGCTATGAAATGAATATCACTGTCATTTTATATGTAAATTTATATAGGAAATGTCATCGATCGTCCTTTTCCAGCCAACTGGACGCCGTTTTTTTCAGAAGCATATCAAGTGATACCATAATATAGTACTATATTACGATACATGGCGTTCGATTGGGCTTAAACTTGGTATACTATATCTTCAGTGACATTGTAATATCATGGTACCATGGAGCATATAAAGTGGTACCTTCTATAGTACCATATTTGATGACATAGCAATATTAGGTACATGGCGGCAATAGGGCTTAAACTTGGTATACTACGTATTTTCGGTGATATTGTAATATGATGGTACTATGATGCATATCATCTGGTACCATAATATAGTACCATATTATGTACATGGCGTTCGATTGGGCTTACATTTGGGATGCTACGTATCTTATGTGATATTGTAATATTATGGTACCATGGAGCATAATAAGAGGTACCATAATATAGTACCATATTACGATACCATTTCCTGGCGTTCGATTGGACTTAAACTTGTTATACTACGTATCTTCGGTTACATTGTAATATGATGGTACTATGATGCATATAAAGTGGTACCTTAATATAGTACCATATTTCAATACCATTTCCTGGTGTTCGATTGAGCTCATATTTGATATATACTTGCGTATTTTTGATGACATTGCATTATTATGGTACCATGAAGCATATCAACTGATACCATAATATAGTACTATATTACGTACATGCCGTTCGATTGGGCTTAAACTTGGGATACTACGTATTTCCGGTGACATTGTAATATGATGGTACTATGATGCATATAAAGTGGTACCTTAATATAGTACCATATTACGATACCATTTCCTGGCGTTCGATTGGGCTCAAACTTGGTATACTACGTATCTTCGGTTACATTGTAATATGATTGAACTATGATGTATATAAAGTGGTACCTTAATATAGTACCATATTACGATACCATTTCATGGCGTTCGATTGTTCTTAAATTTGGTATACTACGGATATTCGGTGACATTGCAATATTATGGTACCTTAAAGTATATCGAGTGGTACCATAATATAGTACACCATTATGATATCATTTCCTGGAGTTCGATTGGGCCCAAATTTGGTATACTTGCGTTTCTTTATAAAGATCTGCTTATATAATAATTTTAATTTATTTTACGAATTTTAATTTATTGTTCGATGTCGTGACAGCAACTTTTATGCAGAACTAATATATTATTAATTGTACCTGTGTCACTTTTTAAAATCTACCTAGGTCTATATAAATAACGTGGCAAACGGAAGAAATTTGTTATTATAGTATTTTTTAGTCAGTTAACATTTTTTGTACTGCATTTTAATAAATTATTTCCATTATTATTAAACTTATATTTCATTACTAACGTTCCAGCATTAATAAATAGCACTATCAATCGCCCTGTATATTATTAATTTTAAAGGTAATTAAATGTATTTTCTTAGTTAACATTATAAGGTATAGTGTATATTAAAAATGTATATGTTTTGTAATAATATACTTAAAACTATTTTAATAGCCAAAGGAATAATTAATATAAGTGTATCTGACAAGAAAAGAAGAATAGAAAGAAACACATACTGCATTATACACAATAAAAAGAATGGGATGCCAATTCAAGTCTTTTTAAATCTGGCAACTGTGCCAAACCAAACCAAACCAAACCAAATCCAAAACCGAAAGTTCAAAATTTCTAATTATATTCTGATTATGATATTGTCGCGCCATCTAGTATTCTATTTGTGCAATTTTAAGCCGCGTATAAATATGCCGAGGCAAGTACGAGACAAACCCGAAACGAGTATGAAACGAGGCTATAGCAAATTCTTTCCAAAAGGCGTACTAATATGCCGAGACGAAGACGAGACGAGTCAACCTCCAGCGAAATTCGTCATATTATAGCCTCGAGCCGAGCGATTTAGCCTCGAACAGAGTCCCTGCCCAGTCGAACGGCGTTGTCTCGCGGCTATCCATTTTCAGTGGAGCTTTTAGCGAACCAGCAAAGAAATTTAGTCCGGCAGCAGAACCCGGATTTTTCCCTGAAGTGCCAATTGTGGGATTAAGTTTTTTTTATGACGGATTATTATATCTATATGACTATTTTCCATATCCAGCTGATGACAAGCTGTCACCCTTGGGAAAATCCAGATATACAGGGTGTCCCAAAATATAAAACATAAAAATGTATTCGATAGGTTTTTAAGCTTTAGGCCTTAATTTTTGTGTGGCTTGGTCAATTTATTGTATTTATACTAAATATAGGCTTACTTTTATAGCATAAAAAATAATAATCATTATTATTTGCAATATACAGGGTGATTTAAAAAACTTATACCTACATTTTTCCGATTAATATTTTTCTTGTTTTTAGAACTTCGTATCTTAAATTCAATTCAACAATCATTATTGGTATTAATAATTTTACCAAAAAAATTACCGATGATTTTGTGTTTCCATTTCAAAATAAAGTATACAAAATGCAAAAATGTAATTTTTCGATTTACCTTCAATTAACGTGAAAATATATTATGTTTTTTTTAATTACCCTGTATATAAGATGTTTTGTTAGCACTTATACCTATGAAAAAACCTACATTATTAAATAAATCAATGTAAAACACACGTTAAAAACACACAAAATAACTCGATAACTCGAATAACACTCGATTTCACATAATTGATATTGATTGAATAGATCTTAATTTCCCCAAAGATGCCACTTTGTCATCACTCGGATATTAAAAGTAGGACACCTATAGATGGTAAATCCGTTTTCAAAAAAACTTCATCCCAAAATTTTGGGTTTACGCCAGCGGCTGCCGGACTAATTAGCACATGTAGTGGGAGGGGCTTACGGTAATCTCCGTCGAGTCACTCTGTCTGCGGTGAAATTTTTGATATGTGAAAAATATGTCTGACGACGAAGAACAAGTAGTACTGAGTGTAGTGAATAAAAACAAAAAATCGACGATGGTGGCGCACTGTTTTATTTAAAAAACGATCTGGATCAGAACTTTTAGCAGATTTAAAGTTTCAGCATGTCAGCGGGCAGTACAAAAATTTTACAAGAATGTCCCCTACAGATTTTGAATATTTATTAAACAAAATCGGACCAACTATCTCAAAAAGTGAAACTCATTTTCAGCAGCCTATTTCAATTCAAGATAGGTAATTAAGAATTTATAGGGTGGTCCGAATTGTATTCGGGAAACGTCGGCGGCATATTCTGCAGAAAATAAGTGGAAAAGTTCGTATAAATATACAGGGTGACGCACCTCATTCGCATCGGTTGAGTATACGAAAACGGAAAGACGTAGAAACAAATGTTTATATGGATATATGTGGGGAGGCAATGTGCAAAATTTAAAATTATTTTCAAATGTACAGGGTGTGTTAGAGTTAAGATCCATACCAAAGTTATATTTTTTCTTATTGAACACCCGGTATTTTATTTAATTTTTGTATTCTTGAACATAAAATAAGGCATTTATTATAAGGGTTTAATATGTTTAAAAGCTTTGGTTTTTGAGATATTGTTGATTATACGAAAACGGAAAGATGTAGAAACAAATGTTTATATGGATATATGCAATATATGCAATGTGCATATAAGTGTTCCACGAATCATTTTTTTTGTCTTTTTTATAATAATTTCTGTCTTTGGGGTCCCATAAATTTTTAAATGATCTATATGTCTCTATTAAGTTGAGCATTGCTTCTTCCGACCAC